AAAACATAAAAAACCCAAAATGTAGAAATCGATTTTCTACGGTGTTCAGTTATATACAATTATAAAATTGCATGTTTTTTTTACAATTTAAAGACAAGTTCATTTAGTATATACGATAATATAAAGAAGAGTTAAATTAAATTATTATCAACATTTATTTAGTCATCAACTTATGTTATTCTCTTTTTAGTTTATTTGGCAGATCGTCGTATTGATTGGTTACTGTATCATGTAATTTAGACACACATGTTGAAAAAAGTGCCTTTCCATTTAGCCCACACATTCATTAGCAGAGCTGCCTTTTGTCCACATTCTTGGCCACAAATTCACTATCATTTTTTACCGCATTGTCATTTATTTGCTGCTCGTTTTTACCTTTTCTACCTTTCATTGTATCTGTTTTGTGGTCCGCCATTTCCTCGCGAGTCCTTGCCGCCCATCCTTGCATAATTCCTATTTTTTCTCCGTCGGCCGCTTAATAACGTTTTAATTGTTGTTGTGGGCTTTGACCGTCGAGGACCGTGGAAATTTCCCACGCAGATCTGCCCCCGACCTCCCGCCATGCCACGCCCCCTTTCGGCCATATCGCCGTGCCGCTCAGCATTTTTATTATCATAATGAGCATGCGGTAAGGGGTTGGGTTTTCCACGGCTGTCTGTGTGTGTGTGTGAGTGCTAAAAGGAATGTTGCATAATGTGGCCACCGCGACGCCGAAAAACCATTTGAAATTATGCATGCGGCGGTATTATTTCTACTCTTTGTTTTCCCCGCTCCGTAAATTCTTTTTTTTTTTTTTTTATTGTTTTTTTCTGTTAACTCTTAACTTTTTCCGGGAGGGAAATAAATTCAAGTTGCTCTGGCGAGTCTATTTAGATTTTCAAAACAGCTTCGCGGCTCGCTGAGTTTATTACCATGAGTTTAAAGCGACTTCTGGCTGTCTGCTTATCAAGTTGCCATTAAATCTCCCGCTTAAACGTCCTCCAATCCCCTGCCACGCCCCGCCGATAAGCAAAATTTCAGCGCAAATTTATTTGATGTGTTTTATTGTGTTGTTAAATTTCGCGTGGCAAACGAAGGCAGAAGAAAAAAAAACAAACAAACAACCAAGGGACAGAATAAAAAATATACCCCACCTCATTCAGGTTGCTTAGCTCTATCAGTCGAGCCGTTTATCATTCCCAGAAGCTCCTGGCTCCTTCAAATGGCTCTCAGCTGTTTTGGGCCCCGTTCACCTGCTCTGTTACCTGAATTGCCTGAATGCCTGGCTGGTTGCCTGTCGCCAAAGTTCATTAAATGCGCCATGAATGCCAAATGCCCGAGCGGTCTGAACTTTAAGTTGAAATGGGACTCGATTCCAGCTCCCCGGGAATTTCGAACAAATTGAAGCCGAACTGAAGGAGAGAGTTCAATGTCACTGGCAATTGGCTTATTTGAATGCAAATGAGCTGGAACTGCTTTAAATTCCAATTAAATTATATTTCGTCTCATTTTGTTTAATGCGATTCGATTGAGCGATGACATTTTATGTATAGGTTTATATTTCAGTTTTACATTAAATTTATTCTTTAAGAGCAAAAACTATGTCAAATGGAAATTAAAATCATAATACTCTTTAAAGCTTATTAGTTTGAGATTTGAAGTTGGTTATGTAACTTAAAACATTTTCATGAAATTAAAATCCATTGATACTTTAATAATTGCTATTGCCAGCTCAATTCTTAATATTGTTACATTACTTAAATACAATTAATCTGTATATTTTGTTTCCTTGTAAATAAGCACCGAATGGCAATTGCTCAGCTGCAGATCGATTAAGTGGAAATTTCTTCCTATGTGGTTTTTGGTCCCCACACATTTGAAAGAGTATTTCGATATAAGCCATCATTCCTGCCCAGATATCCTAGCTTCTCACTTCGACCCCCAAACCATAAACAAGACATTATCGAGCCACCGAACAAAAGTCGAACCAGAAATGCAGCTGGCTTCGTTTGGATTATCGTTTATTGCATTATTTTTATGCGATGAACGCGCGTCGATTAGAAAACTAAAAATGTATTTCGCATTTCGCTCGCCGATCCTTCTGCTTCTGCTGCTGTTTCTGAGTGGCGAGAAGCGAATGAAATGCAATAAAAATGGAGCAGAAATGAGAACTCCCCATGGAGCACAGGGAACTGGGGGAAAAAAAGGGGCGAATAAGGGCGAAAAAAATGGCAAAACGAGCTGCGGAGCAAATGGCAATCGCATTTGGCGCATTGCACTTTGCCAGGCAGCAGCAACACTGGCAGCAGCGGCAACTATCAGCAGTTTACAACAATATTGGCACCTCCACTTGGCTAACTTGGCTAACTGTGAAATTGTGGCCCATAAAACGTGAGCACTGCCATGGAAAACATGGCGAGAGTTTTCGACTATAAAATATCCGGTACTCGACCTGAAATTACTATATCAAATCGATAAACCAAAAGAGACAAGGGAAATAAATATGGCGGTAAAGTTGCAGTCAATGAAATTTAAGTACAAGTTAAATAATATTTTATTTTGTTATTTTAAATAGTAAAACCGGTTATGACACAATATAAGATATAAATATTTAATGGGAATTATATGACAAAAGCGAGGAATTTACTTCGATTTGCATTTCAAATTCATAACATACAGCATACATAACATAACATATACAAAAAATATTTGTCTTAGTTATCCTCTTTAACGCAAGTATAGAGTATATTTCCTTTATAAAAAAAAAATTCCCGATTTAAAAGTGTATTCTGAAGTATTTTTTATATCATGAATGTATATGCTTAAAAATTAAATAGAAATTTTATTTATATTTATTTAAATACACGGCAAAGCTCCCTACAGTTTTATAATACCAACCTAAAGCTCTTCAACTGCCAAGCAGACAAAAATCTTGGGCGGCCACATGGCGTATACGTGTTAATTTAGCGCAACGATTAGACACAGCGCGCTCCTTGGCTCGTTGTTGCAACCACGAATCCTTCGGCTTCCTCCGACAATTGCAGTTTGGTAAATTGCCCGTTTGCTTAGCACAATAAATTTCAACACTGGCTCCTGTCAGTCAATGGCGAAGGGTTGGCGGGGATCTTGGCCGGTTAGCCTGCTTGGTTAAGTACATTTTAGCCGAAACGTTTTCAATTTGGCCAGAGTCAGTCTATTTTTTAGGCTAAGCCCGACACAAAACACTATATTTTGCCGGACTATAAGTAATGATGTGACGATTTGGCAGCAACCGAATGAGGTGAGCGAACTGGAATGGGTTTGGATCGTATACTGTATACTAGTATATATAAATATAACCTAAGCATGGGCGTTTCTTAATATAGTTCATTGGCCCCGGGCGATGTTTTGCACTGATGTTTAGCATTTCCTCCACGCAATTCAAGGCCTCTCTTTATAGGTTTATTTAAGGCTGGGTTATAACAACTTACCAATTTAAGTAGTCGCAAAATTGTTGGTTTTTGGAAGGATAACGAAAATAAGTGCTGTCTTCTCAAAGAGTAGATAGCTAAGCATTAATTTTTGTAGAGCATAAAATAATTAAGACAACAGTCAAGCAACATGTGATGCATTTTAAGCAAGTCGTAAAAATTAAATATTTAATTAATAAAAAGGGTCTAATTAGTTTATTAAACATTGAATTCTTCAGAGCCTTCAGTCTTCAAATTATTTTCCTTATGATTTCATTTGGACGCACTGTATAGTTAAAGAGTATCTCAAATTTCCAACCATAACTCTTGGCGAAATGTTGCCCACTTTGTTTGTTTGTTGCTGCCGTTAAATAAAATTTACTTTGCCATGCACTTTGGGCATACATTCTGCTCGGTAAAAGTGGCCGGGGTCCTTGTTTTCATTTTTCGTGCTTCGTTTTCGTGTTTCTCCTCCTCAGGAGTTTTTTTGTTTCCTTCGGCGAGGAAAGCAGCTCGGGTCGTTTGCCCAGTCTGATAAATTGTTTCCGTAGAGAGAACGCTGCACGTAATTGCTGAGCGGATCGATGAAAAGTAGCTTAAGGATGCCAGACAAAAGTGAGTTGTTGCTGTGCTCTTATTGTTACTATTGTTGGCTACTCGCTGCTGCTGCTGCTGCTGCTGCTTCTGCTGGCTGGTTGTGACAAGGCCAACTAATTTGTACACTTCACTCGGCAAACCGAACGACAGTTGGCATAAAAATAAGACAATGTTCAAAGCAGCAGAGCCAACTCATTGCAACCAACACCCTTGCAACTTGTTTCCGTGTGAAATGTAATGCAATTTCATGTCAAAAACCAACACAGACGACAGCACTCACTGGCAAACTTTAAAGTGATATTTTTGTGTCGGTTAGTGCAGCACACCTGTCCTGTTGTCTTCTACCTTCTGCCTGATGCCTGATGCTACTACCTTCCACCACCTGCTGGCTTCGTCCTGCAGGTTTTATCCTGCCGACTTCCACCTGCTGCCATCTTCGAGTTCGTGGGCTGCCGTCTCTTCTTGGTTTTTGCTGTCACTGCAGCAGAAATAGCAGCAGCAGTAGAAGCACTGGCAGCAGCACCAGACAGAAGTGCCAGTCATGGGGCCGCAAGAAAACAAACTTCAGCCGCTTCCTGTCCCCTTCCCCCCCATTCCCCCATACCCCTTTCCCCTTCCTTTCCCTCCTCCACTGCTTTAACTCCGCTCATCCTCGACCGCAGCACACGGCGCTTACTTCCGCTTTTGAGTGTTAAGCAACGCACACAAACGGATGTACACTGAGCCACTCTATTCCAAGAAATTTGGTATCAGAATTTTAAAGTGACGAGTTCTTAGAAGTATTAAAAAACTATATAGGATTTTTTATTTTTAAATAAAATATATAATTGCTTTACAATTATTTGATATAGATTTTTAGCTAACATTTCTTTTCTAGATTTAAAAATTAATAAAGATATACACAAATACGTTTAGCTACATATACAACCATGATAAGCGTGTAAGGAAAGTAAAAATTGCCTTAGCAACAATCTATTCAATAAGCATTAAAGTTTTATTTTTTTTGCTTCTTTAGACGATTTTTAATATTTCTAATATTTTTGCAGACCTTATACGAAGTTGTATATTTCTATTTACAACAAAAAATTCATCATGACAATGTTCATCGATGTGCTCTTTACTTGTTCAAAACTGTTCATCCATTTTGAAATTAATCAACACTCCATAGTGTCTGCACCAAAATTACAGACGCCATTGGTGCTTGTGCAATGCCGTCTTCCCAAAGCATGGTTTCTTCTAACATATCGACCTCCATTGGTTTGGGATGCATGTCATTATCTCTGAAGTCCCTTCTCGTACGATTACGGAAGCGTTTTTTGAGATATCGTAAATACTCGACCGAAAGTTTCATCCTACAGTTCTTTTTTGCTTTCTATGCTTAGACAGACAAATAAAAATGTAAAAATACCTTTGGTTTTGTTTGAGATGACATACTTAGCCAGCTTGTCTTGAAGTTAAAATTTAATATAAGAAGGTAACACAATATGAACTAATATTTAAGAGGAGAAGAAGAAATCAATTGTCTGACACTGTTTTCAATGTTAACGCGGTTATGTATATCATTTATAATTTTAGCTGCAATTAATAAGGGTACCTTAGAGAATACTCTCAATATGGAATTAAATGTAACCATATTTTTTTCTCTGCAGGTAGCTAGGGCACTCACACTCGCAGGATTCGTTGTCCTTTGACATGTATGTCTCGGTCTTTAGCTGTTCAACCTGTCTGCTGCTGCCACTCTGTGTGCAGTTTTTGTCATTCCCGGCTCTTTACTTGTGCGCAGCCTGAAGGCAGTGCAAGTTATGACAAAACCTGCCACGCCCCCACGCCCATCGAACGCCGTGCCTTTCACCTTTCACCCTTCTCCCCTGCCACCCAATTGGCCAAGTTCCTTTGGCCGGAAAAAGGATGGAGGTGGAGTGAAGTGGCAGGACGAAAGACCAAAAAGTGCATAGGAAGCGTTAAAGGTGATTCACTTGTTTGTTGCTTGTTTGTTTGCAATTTGTTGCCATAATTCTGTAGTCGTTGCCTCTCGGTTTTCACGCTTCTGGATTTAGATTTCTGCCAAAGCGGGTTGGCTGTGAGTGGAAGTGGAAATTGTTATGGCAACGCACTTGATCCTCGAGCGAGATGGAATTTCTAGCAGTATATAATGTTGAATGGAGGAGGTTTAGTGATCGGGCTTAATGAAAAGAAAGACATTCTTAAAGTATTTATTACTGAGGAAATGTATAAGTTTTATATACAGTTTAACTGTAAAAGGAACATTAATTTGATGTTCATTTTAATGTACATGTTTTAAGGAGCCAAAATAAAAGTTTAAACTTTAGGGCTCATTAATTTAAACCTATTAAATTAATCCTACTTAATATTATATTATATTAATTCTAAAACGTAATTATATATATATATGTATATATTTATATCTAAGCTTTTTCTCTGTTCTAAAAAGCTGAAGTAAAAACTAAACTTAAAGTAAACCAAACTGTGTTGTTATTTATAATTCCAATTCAGGAAATGTTTCAAGGGCATGCGGAGCTATTCCCCCATCCTTTTTCTTTCAGCTCCACTGTTTACGGGGCGTATACGTGATATTTTCGTTTGCATCTGCACCTCTGCGAATGCTGACCATTTCGGTGGCCATATCAATTTCGCCATCGCTCGCTTTCGGTCCACATTACCGTTAAAATTGTATTGGATTGGTCCTGGATGCTTTGCTGACCAACTGGATAACCGAATGGCTATTGTGGCCCCAAGTCAGTGCCAGATTGAGCTATCCTGTATCCTTTTCCCATCGTCTGCATTCAGTCGCACTTGGCCATACACACACACATACATATACAAATATATGTATATATCCTTACATGAGTATGTGCTTATAGATTTTTCGTTATAGCCACACGAAGTTCTTCTTAAAATGCAATTTTCAAGATTTTTCTTTTCCTTTTCAGCTCGTTTGGCTGGCGCCATTTTAGTCCTTGCCCGCTGATTTTAAGCCTTTTCTTCTTTTCCTTCCTTTGCTCCTCCGCTCCGCTCAGCTGGCCAACACTTTTGGCTGCGGCCACGCCCCCTTTTGGTTGTGCTTGCATGTGTCAAAAGGTATTTTTTATGTTCAGTTTCGTGTTTTTTCAGCGTTTTTCCAGCGTTTTATTTTCCTTTTCTTGGTTTGGTTTCTGGGCTCACAGGACATTGTGAGTGTGGAAGGACGAAAGGGGGCGAGTCGAGTCCCATCTTGTGTGCAGGTAATGTGGCACTTGGCTAAAATGGTGTGTGAAATTTTATGCGAAACGGCTTAAGATGTTGTTGCTGTGGCCGGAGTTGTTGCCGTGCTTGTTGTGCTGATATTTCTGGAACGGAACACAATCATTCTGCTATGTTGCACATAAAAAGTTACGTTGAGTGGCAGTATATATGTATGTATATATATATACATACCTTAGTGGGGGGCGGATAGTTCCCACTTTTCGGTCGGGTTTAGTTCTATTCTCTGACCGAAGCCCTGCTGATGATGACATTTTCGTTTTGGTCGCTCCGATTGGCAGCAAAACATACACACAATACTGGTAAAAAGGAAAAGAAATCCCTAAAAAAAGATTAGTTAGCTTGGGAGGGTTTAGTTTCAGTTCAATCCTTACTTTTTTTTTTTTTTTACTCTTGTGCGGACTTGAGTCAATGTTGTTAGTTTGGATTCTGGGAATGGCAAATGGCATGAGAACGAAACTCGATTTCGATTGCGTTCTTGTTTTTTTTGCTCTCACTTTTTGTCATCGAAACATTTTCGGCATTGTTATTGAGTGTGCTAGAAACTGGTCTTCATTTCCAGCTTCGGTATTTGAAGTAATCATCTGAATACGAAACAAAAAGTGGATAAACACACGTTCTGCAAAATGTTCATTAAGGGAAATGCAAAGGCCTTAAATAAAATGGTAACTAACTATGCTTGTGTTCAATTTTCATGTGAACGACGCTTAGTCTAATTAAAACAAGAAATTTGAAGGTTTCACGAATGTGAGCCTCCACTTAGCCAAATTAACAGCGTTGATTTCAAACTGAGCTCCACGTTTTTCACTCGTTTTTTACCTTTTGTTGTTTGATTTATTCGTGTAAAAATATTCAGTTTTCAGTTAGTAAAAAGCACATGGCAAATAAATAATAATGACTGCGATATCACAAAACTCACACATCATTTTTAACTATAAATATTTATAATTTAATAGAATTCAAATTCTAAATACCCTGTAGCAGACATTTCTTTAAATATAAGTAATCGCAAATTGCAATATGTATTTGGAAATAACTGTTTAGTCACTATTCGCGTAACTCAATTTCTTATTTAGTTTAAAATCTTAATTGATTCATACAAAGTGCTGGTAAAACCTGAAATACCCTTGGAATCGAAACAAATAATTGTTTTTAATTTTCTCACCTGTTTTCTGGGCAAATAGGTTTCGAATTTTAATTTGCATTTGGAACTCGCATGAGTTTCAATTTGTTGCCAGTGCGTTTTTCTACTTTAAAAGGTGTGCTAGTGTGTGTTTTTTTTTTTTTTTGGTGACATGCATTTGGTCGAGAGAGTTTTACATATCAAAGGAAAGTTGGACAGTGTCCGTGCGGATAAAACAACTCTATGCCGAGCGGAAAGGGAAAACGGATCCTGGGGGCTTTTCACCGGAAATGGATGTTTCTCTAACGCGTATCCTCGCATTTTCCGACTGTCGTGCTTTTTGATGTTTCACTGGGGCGAGACCACGTCAATTACAGAAAACAATGACAAGCATCATCAGCATCAAAGGGGACGATCTCACCTTCCTCGTCCTGCAAATGCCATCATATTTCCAAATTGGTTGTAAAAATACCTTTTAATTGCTCGTGAGAAGGGGGACTCCATGGCAAATCGAAATCAGCAGGCACACGGCACTCAAAATTTTAACACGGTTCGGTATTAATTCAATTAAAACTGAGCGGGATGGGGCAAAAAAGTCAAAATCTAGTCAACAGCCGGGTTCTGATTTCGGTTTTTGCTGCCGCCATCCTTGCTTTTGACACTTTTAATGGAAAGGCCTAGCAAAATCATTAATTATGTTACGAAATTTGGATGGAAAATGCATGTCACTGTGTGGATTGGGAAAATGGGGAGACATTCTAGCCAAACCCTTAGACTTCTCTTTATAAGTGCAATAAATTGATTGTAATACACAAACAACCACATCAAGTTTAAAGGTTATCAAACAATATTTGAAATTTATTTCGGTTATTCTTCCAGTAAGTATTAAAAGCCAAAAAAATATTTATGAATTTCGATTTTTTGTTGGTCTGTTCGTGTTGCGAAATTTTATCAGTAAAACCATAGGAATAAATTAGTCTTTTTTGGTATCAAAGTCGTCTTAAAAGCGAGAAGTTATATTCGAAAGGCTTTTCAAGTCACCAAAAACGCTATTATCCTGGTACGTAGATGCCAAGGATATCGCCGTACTGCGCTCCAAGTGACTTGGCGTCCGTTTTTGTTCAATGTAGATGAAGTTAAGGTCTTCATCAAGTTTCACCAAGAAGGTTGGAATTTTTCCACGCCCCTTTACAAAAGTCATGTCGCGATACTCGCAGTAAATGCCGAAGTCGTTGAGGATCCTGGCGGACTCCTCGGTGACCTGGATGTGCCCCACTAAGCCCGTCGATTCCATTCGAGAGGCCATGTTCACTGGGGTTCCCCAGATGTCGTAGTGCGGCTGAGAGGCTCCCACAATTCCAGCCATAACCTCACCGCTGGAAATGCCAATGGCGATGGTGCCGTCTGTAATGGTTCGATCGCTCGGAATGCCTTGGTAGATCTCGTTGCTTTTGGCCAAAGTGCGCATCATGTCCCGGGCAAAAGAGGCCATCACAAAGACCACCTCCTCGAGTTCGTTTTCGTGCACTCGAATGGATAGTTTTGGAGCATCTGCATCGCCGGTGTCTAAATCGTAATTTGAAAGGTTGGTTAATACGTTTATCATTTTCCTAACGACTTACCAGTCGATCCAATTGGTCTACTCGTGGAACCGGCAAAGCTCAAATCGAGGCCACAGGCAGCCATATATGTGCATCCTACAATTTTGATTTTCTCAACCGAAAAATACTCCTTGTAGAACAGCAACTGTTTTGGGATTAGACATCGGAAAATAAGTATTATGTCGTGGAATAATAAGTATATAAAAATAACTTCAAAAAAACATATATAACTTATCTACCTTAACGTAACTCTTATCTTACCAACACATCGAATTCGGCAATAATTTCATTCAATACGCGCAAGCCTCGAAGATCTGTTTCAAAGTTCATTAACATGGCAAACATTACGGAAACCATACTATAGTTTTCATAATACAGTTCGTGTTTAGCCAAAGAATTAAGATATACGTCAACTGTAAGAAAAATTAGGAAAGACCTTTTCCACTGATATTCCACTGTACCCATATTAATTAGGACCACCTACCGATGTAACTAGGAAGAATATTGTTAAGGATTATTATGATTGATTGGTTGGTTAAGCTGGCGTCATTCTCCTTTTTTTCAGCTCCACTCGCCAGCTGAATATTGAATAATAATAAAAAAGTTATTAATCAATTTCAGCTGGTAAATCTAAACTTACTTGAAGTTTACTTTGTTAACAAACTCAAGTTGGCGCTCCTTCACAAACATTGTCACCAGGGTGATGCAGATCAGTAAACCATGGGCGTACTCAGCGGGAAAATTGGGGTTCGTGGTAATGCTGCTGTGAAAGACGAACTCAAATTGGAAGAAGATGATCACCATGTATCCAAGTGTCTCCAAAACAGCAATTGCTGTTTTCACTAAAAACGGAATTCTGGTGAAGGTGAAAGTGATGCAGATCATTAGGGAAACCATGTTGGAGGCGACCCAGGGATGGAAACAGATTTTACTATCGTCATCGTAGTGGAAAAGCTTTTCCTCAATGTTCCTTAACTCGAACTCGTCCCGTTCGCAGGACATCTAATTATAGAATATATTGCTGTAAATAATGTAAACCGTTTTTGTCACTTTAAATCTCACCACTATTAACAACATTATGGTATAACTTGAAAACACTAGGAACAAATACAATACAATGCGAATGCCCAAACTTCCTATGATTTTCTCGTGTATCCTAAATATTGTGCAGCTAAATAGGCTATACTTATGGTCTGATTCCCTATATCTCGTCCAGCACATCTTCTTGTACCAAGCGATGAGGGTCAAAATGCTCATCACTGTGATCACGCAAATCGAAAAAATAAGGCAGAAGCCGCCAGTTATTTCGGAGACCATCAGTTGAATGTACATTAGACAGCAAGTAAGACAGCAGACCAACAACATACTATACTTGAACATATAATCGGTCTGGTTCAAGTAAGCCTTCTCCATGGAGTGATTGTAAAAGGACAAACAGGAGTTCAGTTGTTTGTTCAGTTGCGGATTCTGATTCTGATTATGCTTTTGGCGATACTTGTAATACAACTCTTTAGGACTGTAAAAAGGGTGGGGAAAAATAGTTCAATACTACTTGGTAAAATTATAAAATAAATGTTGATTAATAATCAAAAAATGTAAATGTTTTTATTTTATTTCTAATAAATTAAAGTTGATATGCAAAAGGAGTTTTTGTTATTTTTTTACTTGCTACAAAGCAATTCAATTAAATTTTTGGGTAACAATTAGAAAAATATTACTAATAAGGTAAATGCTTCCCAATACAATTTTGTTTTAATATGTAACAAATATTTTTCCATTTTCAAATTATTTTTTTTTTGCCTATATAATCAACTTACTTAAATGCACTGACGGGCATTTTCCGAAATTGTTCGCGTAACTCGTCCTGGAAAACAACTCTTAAACTTTCACTAGTATTAGCGCTCACTCTATATTTAGAGCCCAAGTTCATATGAGAAAGGGAATGCAATTCAAGGAGGGATTTATCACTTTCGCTTGACTCATCATCCTCCCTTATTTCCTTACGAACAATATAAGTACTTATTTGGCGTCTCCTCAGAACAGGATTGTGCCTTGCGCTTTCAGGACCATTTTCAATGACGTAGCGATCGCGTTCAAGGTGGTTTAAGGTATCAGCACTAATATGCACGAAACCCGAAACTCCACTGGACTCCAAGGCATTGGCAATGTTGACATCCGTTCCTAAAGAGTGAAATGTTAGCAATTCGATCACAACTAATCACCCTGCTTCTTACCCCATATATCTAGTTGCAGCTTGGCTTCTCCGATGACACCTGCGAACAGAGTTCCCGAATGAACTCCAATGCGCATATTAATGTCCAATTGCTGGACGTCACTGGGGGTTTGCGATAAAAGGAATTTTAGTTGTAAAGTTCAAGTTCATTTGTGTAAAAAATAGGTGTATTGATTATTTTTGTAGCGCGTAAGTTGGGTCGCCTCCACGTTCTTTTCCATTTAGCAATCCTCATAGGTCTGGAACGAGGGGAGTGCAACCGGTTTTATTTTTATTTTGATTTGCGTAATTTTTTACTACAAATGCTGAAAAACTTGTGTATATCCATCACAACTTACCTCTGATGAATTTAGTATCGAAATTTGATAATAAATAAAAGTTTTGATTAATCTTATGTTTTTTTTTTCCATGAATATTATCCGGCCGAATACTGAATACCAAACAGAGTGGCCGAATAGGCCGAATACTGAATAGTAGCCGAATATTCGTGGTATCTCTAATATAAATATCTATATAAACAGACCATTTACTGGTAATGAATAAATAGATGATTGTATATTTGCATGTAAAGTTCGGCTTATTTGCCATGAGATTCTGGTAGACCTATAAATTCATAGATTTTTTGTTTGCTCACAGTAATTTATTTTTAAATTTGTTATTTGTCTGGTGTCTTCTATTTTTAGGGAAATATAAATTGTCGTTTTATTTACTTTTAGCTACCCTACTCTCTTAATTTTACTCAGAAAAAAAGTACATATGTAGATCTACGTATTTTTTATATGGCAATTTCACATTTCTACATAATTTTCTTTATCTGACCTACGCCTTTTTAAAAATCCGAGTTGTTTATGTGTGTCGGTTCCTCCATGGAGGAAAAGCAAGAACATCACTCTGTAGTCGACGAGCAAATTTGCGCTTTTCGTCTAGCCGCCAGAGCTTGTATTGTATTCTTTGTGGAAATGTAATTCTTATTTTGTATTAGTTATTGACTTAAACGAATTTTAATTAAAAGAAAATCCAGAGATGATTTCCTTAATTAATGAAAGTGTAAAGTGTAAAGAACACATATATCCTTTGTCCTTCTTCCTTTAACTAAATTTAATAAGACGCCCTTTGGTTCTGATGTTGATACTCACCGCACCTCCTGTATTTCATTGCTCATGGAGAGCCCGAGCGACACACATTTGGTGGCGTGATCGGGATCTGGACCCGACAATCCCGCCACACAGTAGTAGCAGTCGCCCAGGAATTTTATGCGCTGCACTTTGTAGCGAAAGGCAGCCAAGTCGAACCGGCCGTAGAGATCGTGGAGGACCTTCACCAACTTCTCAACCGTTAGTGTGGTTGTCAGGTGGGTGTAGTTGACCACATCAGCGTACAAAATAGATACTTCCGGATGCATTTGAATGGCCATTGCTCTTTCCATGGCGCTAAAGGCATGCATTCCACCACCCTGCCTGGCCAATTTTAAACGGGTTTTGATGTCTCTTTGCAGTAACTGGGAGATCTGTGGCGGCAGGATGCTGTCCAGCAGCTGCTTCTCCTGCAGGCGGGCATTCCGGAGCCAGATCTCCTCCTTGATGTATTGATGGCGATCAAGGAAGGACGATCGTACCACCGTGTCGTTCATCACGCGGTAGAAAATGCCCACCAGGTTGAGGCACAAGTAGTGGACAATATCAACTGACATCCCGCTGATGGAAAATAGTTCTCCCAGAAACTCGAAGAACCCTTCGGCCAAATAATTGATAAAGTACAGAATGTACAAGGCGGACACCAAGAGAGCCAAAAGGACTGCTCCTTTGATAAAGTGAATCGGCAGGAACATGTACACCATGTACAAAATGTACGTGTCGTAGAACGTGCCCAGTACCCAATTATGTGCGTAGTGGTGGTATATCGATTCAGTTAGGTCTAAACAAATGTCGGGATATTAGCAGAAAGTTAAGGTAATATAAAAATTAAGGACAGCAGATACCCACCTGTAAACACCAAAGTCAAGGAGGCAAATATCGAGCTGGCGTACATATACCACGTGTGCTTTGCAATAAAGTCATCGCAAAAGTTGACACTTAATACAGCTAAAATAACAACGCAGCATCCTGTGATAAGGACCACGTCGAAATAGATAAGTTTACGTTCCTTTGGAAAAAAGAATTTAGATTAATAAGAAAAATACATTTAATTTAAATAAGTAAATACCACTTTATACGAAAGTGTCGCAAAAATTATAATTTTAATTGAATCAAAGCTTACTAAATAAATCTCGTTAAAAACTCATTTGTAAACAAATATCTTAACAAAGAATTTTCAACATAAAATAATCAATTAAGCAATAAACTCAAATGCGATTATTTTGGAAAAAAATGAACCCCTGAATACTGTTGTCAACATTTAAAAGGCCTTACCTGAATTGTGGTTAACAAAAGCGTACAGTGAACCAAGGTGACACAAATATGCAGCATAAAAAAGCACATAGGTAACTTTTCCACAGGCGTATTCGATAAAGTCGGAACTCGGTTTCCAACCGTAGCTCTGCACATCTCGCCTGCAGATTAATAAGTAATTTCTTCTAGTAAAGTTAAACTGTATTATTACCTTAAGGTAGCCGGGTTCCCACATGCGCTCTTTTGCATAATTAAGTTTGCATTTTTCCCTAGCAGAAATCATTTTTTGTTGATTTTTTTTTTAAATAACCTTTGCCTTATAATTTTAAAAGACAAGAAGTTTTGGCTCAACTGTATAATATACTTTTAACCAAAAGCCGACTTTGGTAGTACATTTTTAAATTTTCACAATAACCTTACAAAAAATTTGTTTAAATTTTACCAATCTGAATTTTTAACAATTTAGCTTAAAACTTTTCCATACTCTTTAGAATTGCTGACCATACTGTAGCAGGCTATATGCATATACAGTAGAATCCTGTTATAACGACTCCGCTTATAGTGTCCGTCCGGTTATTGCGACGAAAACTCGATGGCTTGATTGGTCCCCGACAGACTTATACACTTATATCCTTTTGCTTAGTGCGTCTTCCGGGTATAACGACGAAAACTCGTCGGTCCCTTGAAAGTCGCTATAAGCGGATTCTACTGTAAATATTTTCTTCGCCGTGGAGAGGTATATCTAGAATATATGATAAACTATTTGATGAAGACTAACCACCCTTCTTCGAAATGAACAGTAAGTTATCATCGATGTCCACAAAATAGGTAGGAATTTTCCCACGACCTTTGTCAAGGTCAAGCCGCGGAAATTGCACTTAATCGGTCACCTGGATGTGTCCTGGTAGTCCTGTCGATTCCATCTTGGAGGCCATGTTGACCGGGTTTCCCCAGATGTCGTAGTGTAGAATAAGATCTGGGGGCTGCGAGGCCCCCACCACAAGGTACCGATTGATTGTCTTCAGGGAGGGAAACTCAGTAGCAAAAATGCAAATCTTGCACATTTTCGTGTTGGTCACGATCTGAATGTAGAGCAGGCAGCAGCCAATTCCCCAGGCCAGGAGCGTGGAGTACTTGAACACAAAGTCAAAGATGCAGACAGCATGGAAATCGAAAGCTGAGAAGCAAAATTGATTAATTAAGTAAGCCATGGAAGTTTCAACTTGACATAATATCATAGTTTAAAGTATTATTTTATAAGCATTAACACATCAAATTCGGACCAAATTTTCCTTCGAGGAAAGCCAAAATTTCCCAGTGACTATTAAAGCAGCACTTACTGGAATCCTCCGACCGGCATCTTGTTGAACTCCTCGCGCAGCTCATCGGACATCGAGTCGATGTTTGCGGTTTCGCCACGAGTACTCCGACTCGTTTGCAGTGTCATGAAGTCCAAATTGACATGGGACTGCACCCCATGTAGGGTGGATCTCACCGATTCCCGCTGGACGTGACCCCTTATCAGGTAGGTGCCCATCGGGTGCTTCTGCAGCATAGAATCTCTCTGGGCTTTTTCGGTGCCCGGAAAGATTATGTATTCGTCTGCATTCAGGTTGCTCAGGGTTCGCCCACTAACGTGCACATATCCCGGTTTTCCAGTGGCCTCTAGGCGATTGGCGATATCAACATCCGCACCTGGAAAAACATTGACTTAAATAAGAAGGATAAATATCCTCATGAGCAAACTCACCCCAAATGTCAAACTGCAGCTTTGCCTCGCCGATGACTCCTGCAAAGAGGGAACCCGAATGAACTCCTATGCGCATGTCGATTTCCAAGGCGCGCTCGATCCTGCAAACCCAGCGAATAAATAAGAACAGACCCCAACCCAACTTTCAGTGAACACTTACCTCACCTCCTGGATGTTGGCTATCATGGAAATGCCCAGGGACACGGCTTTCGTGGCGTGATCGGGATCTGCCTCCACCAATCCCGCCACACAATAATAGCAGTCGCCCAGGAACTTGATGCGCTGCACCTTAAAGTGCGAGGCAGCCATATCGAATCTTCCGTAGAGGTCGTGGAGCACCTTCACCAACTTGTCCACCGCCAGGGTGGTGGTCAAGTGGGTGTAGTTGACCACGTCGGCGTACAGGATACTCACATCCGGATGGATCTGGATGGCCATGAAGTACTCCGTGCTTGAGACACCCAGGCTCTTGCGCTCGAACTCGTTCTCCGGCTGCATGATCCTGTGCTTGATGCTACTCTGGATGGGCTTGGCGATCTGCGGAGGCAGGACGCTGTCTAGGAGCATCGATTCCTGGCCCAGGGCGTGGCGCAGCCACCTCTCCTCCTTCATGAACTGGTGGCGATCGAGAAAGGAGGCGCGCACCATCGTGTCGTTCATGATGCGGAAGAAGATGCCCATCATGTTGAAGCCCAGGTATTGGAATACATCCACGGAGACCACGTCGATGCCGTGGACCCTTCGTAAAGTCCGTTGCCTGGTGAAGGCCAGGAAGTGCATGAAGTAGGCCACGTAAATAAGGCTCACGGATGTGGCCAAAAGAGCAGCTCCCCTGATGGAGGGAATTGGCAGGAACATGTAAATCATGCAGAGCACGAAGACGTCGAACGTGGTGTTCAGCGGCCAGTGGGAAATGTAATAATGGTAAGTGTTCTGCATTAAATCTGTGGATCGAGAACAGATAAAGGTGTGAGTTGGTTAATCAACCAATAGAACTCACCACAAAATACCACGGCAAGCACGGACAGAACGGAGGTCAAAACCATAACCCACGGGTGGCGAAGCACAAAGCTCTCAAAGAAATTGACACTCATCAAGGAGGCTACCAAAATCAACGAAAGTCCATCGAAGAGCAAGTTCATCTTATTAATTTCCGGGTTCTTATGGGAAGTTCATTTAGTTGAAAAGTTAAATCTTAAACCAATGAACTCTCACCTCGACACAAGTCCATGTGACTAATTGAAGGCAAAGCATCACCAGTAAAAACAAGGGGTAGAAAACGGTGAGGTAGCTTATCATAAGACGGACCTGATACTTCCTGTACTCCTCCTCCAAATTCAGCTCCTTGCACTTTGCCTGGGAACGATCCGTTTATTAAATGATAAACTGGTCATTTGCTCACCTTCAAATAGCCGAGCTCCCAATGCAGCTCGTCAGCGTAGTTGGCCTTACAAATAGCTTTAAATCTTTTGTATTTTAAATGGACAAGAAGATAACTTCATGCATTTTTTCATTAATCAAATCCCATGCTGGTTAAAAATTACAAATAACAATTTTTCCACCAGCCAAAAAATCCGATTTCTAATACAATTGTTGACCGCCCACAAAATATAAAACTTTTTGGAGTAAACATTTTTTTTTTAATGCAGATTTAAGAAACTACTGACTCTTATTTTCTTCACAAGTTGGATTTTGAGAAAATAAATCCAGTGAAGAAATTACTGAAAAACGTCTCGATGAGGCTCGATGGACGAGTCTCGCGGAAACGAACTTCAAGTTTTCATCGATTCCCACAAAGTAAGTGGGGATGTTTCCGCGTCCCTTAACGAAGGTCAAGCGTGGATGTTGAACTGCTGGAGGACTTTGCGAGCTCCTCGGTGACCTGGATGTGACCTGGCAGACCGGTTGATTCCATTCGAGAGGCCATATTGACCGGGTTCCCCCAGATGTCGTAATGAGGCTGCGAGGCACCCACCACTCCGGCCATTATCTCTCCGCTGGAAATCCCGATGCAGATCTCTCCACTCGCCAAATCCCGTTCTCCGACTGTCTGATCCTGCTTTTGATGCTGTGCTGGATGGGCTTTGCGATCTGGGGCGGCAGGATCCTGTCCACGAGCATCGATTCCTGGAGCAGGTCGTTCCGCAACCATATTTCCTCCTTGATGAACTGGTGGCGATCGAGGAAGGAGGCGCGCACCAAGATGTCGTTCATAATCCGGAAGAAGGTGCCCATCATGTTGAAGCCCACATAGAGCAGTTTATCAATGGCCAGAACATTGTAAAAGTCCGAAAACAAAGGGGTGTACTGCAAGTTGTTCAAGAAGTTGACCACGTAAATAAGGCTCACTGAGGTGGCCAACAGAGCAGCTCCCTTAATTGACGGAATTGGCAGAAACCTGTAAATCATGCAGAGCACAAACCCATAAAATGTGTCAACGAAAAATTTACAACGGAAATGTACTAATTAAAGAATAAATTCATAGTAGTATCATCGAAAATAAAATTGTCTCTATTGAATGAATTCTTGACAATTAAAAAAAAACAAGAAAGGAAGCTAGCTTCGGCAAGCCGAAGCTTATATACCCTTGCAGTCATCAAATATCAAATAGACTAAACAGAATCGAAGCTTTGACGATTTTTCTATTAATTTTCTATATTTTCGACTGTTGTTCATATGACGGCTATATGAAATTAAATTCGGTATTAAAAAGTCGTTAGACTCTATTGTTAAACTCTATATTAAAAAAATCATGCTTGTCTGATGAAAAACAACGATGTTATCGTTTTCTTTCCGATATTTCTATATAGATTTTTCGATCTTTCCTATGGCAAGCCCTATGGTAACGATGACCGATTGTAATGAAATTTTTTTCTCATGTCAAATTTTAAAAGTCATGTTCGACGGATTAAAAACAATGATTATTTCTATAAATTTTTTCGATCTTTCCTATGGCATATAGCTATATGATAGAGTTATGCGATTTTGATAAAATTTAATCCGAAATTCAATAGTAGTCAGAAAACGCCATGTGGAAGAAATCAAGTCGATCTGATCAAAAACAACGGAGTGAGAATTTTTTATTTCTTTCTCTCGTGGGGGAGCTTTCCGATATAGTCGGCCGATCCAGCCCGTTCCGACTTATATACTGCGTGCAATACCTACACAACTTTTAAGAAAGTTTTATCAAGATAGCTTTAAAACTGAGAGACTAGTTTGAAAAGAAACATGCAGACGAACAGACGTATTTGGATTCTGATCGTGATGCTGATCAAGAATATATATACTTTATGGGGTCTGAGGTGTCTCCTTCACTGCGTTGCAAACTTCTGACTGAAATTATAATATCCTTTTTATACTCTTTACAGTAATTGACCATACCAAGACCTGTTAATTTAAAATTTAAAATAAATTTTTTATTGAAGGGTAAGTAAGTAAGGGTTAAGGGTAAGGTCGTAAGTACACTTTGTAAACCCAAATACAAACAATTTACAGGAGACAAAATCAAAAAAAAAAAAACCGAAGGAAAGTAGCACGTAAAATTTTTCCCGTTTGAACACCAACTAAACGTTTTCTTCGTCATGCAGAGACATATCTACGATAGCTGATAAACTATTTGGTGAAGACTGACCACTCTTCGAAATGAACAGAAAGTTATCATCGATGCCAACAAAATAGGTAGGAATTTTCCCACGACCCTTGACAAAGGTCAAGCCGCGGAAATTGCACTTAATGTCAAATTCCTCGAGAATTCTGGCGGACTCCTCGGTCACCTGGATGTGTCCTGGCAGTCCTGTCGATTCCATCCTGGAGGCCATGTTGACCGGGTTTCCCCAGATGTCGTAGTGAGGCTGCGAGGCCCCCACCACTCCGGCCATTACCTCCCCGCTGGAGATTCCTATGCAGATCTCCCCGGTGGCTAAAGCCCGATCAAAAGGTGTTCCTGCATACGCCTTGTTGCACGCCGAAAGGGTTCTCATCAGGTCCAAAGCAAATGAGGTCAGGATGATCACAACTCCTGGATGTTTATATTCGCTTTTAATTGTCCCCGACCGACTGCGACTTCGTTGCACTGAAAAATTGTAATTTTTGTGTCATTAAAATGCAATAAGTACATACTTATAAATGGTTATTAACAATCTATAAGGCTTTAAAAAAATAAGTCTGTAAATCAAATCTTCAATACACTTTTTTTTGTTCCTTTAAAAGGTTTAGATATCAGTCAGTACGTACTTTCTAGAAGCATTGAACCGTAATTAGTGGACCGATGTTTTGAGGCCAATTTAAAATCCAATCCACAAGCTGCCATGTAAGTGCACCCAACGACCTTAATCTTCTCAACCACGTACTCTCCCTTATAGTTAATTAACTTAAACAGGAAGGAATATTAAGTTTAAAATAACAAAGTGTTCAATTATTGAATTACCAATCGATCAAATTCTGTAATGATATCATTAAGCACTCGTAAGCTGGGTAAGTTCATTTGAAAGTTGGTAAGCATGGCGAACATGACCGATACCATTTGATAATTTTCAGAGTAGAGTTCGTGTTTGGCAACTGAGCTGAGATACACCTCGACTAAGAATGAAAGATACAAATAATCAATGGATTACTAACGAAATTTAGTCTGAAACTGACCAACATGGGCAGGTAGAATGTTGTTCAGCAGAATGATGATAGTTTGGTTTGTGACATCGGCCGCCTTTTGCTTGTTTTGCAAATCCACGTTGAGCCTAGACATGAAATAATTACATGATGATAATTAATGATAATGATAATTAAAATGGCTATAATTATCGTAACAAATTGTTCCACCCACTTGTAGTTTATTTTCGTGTTGAACTCCGTCTGACGTTCCTTCGCATACATAGTGACCAGCATCATACAAACCCGACAACAATGCGCTATTTCCGCTCTCAAAAACGGAGAAGTGGTGGCACTGTGCTGGAAAACGAAGCCGTACTGGAAAAACACGATTAACACATATGCAATTAACTCCAAAGTGCCGATGATTGTCTTCAGGGCGAAAGGGATTCGGGCGAAGGTGTAACTCATGCCGAGGATCAGCGCCATCATGTTCGTAAAGGCCCAAGGATGAAAACAGGAACTAAAATCCGCTTCGTAATGATAGATTCTGCTCTCAATGTAATCCAACTCATACTGGTCCTCGTCACATGTTTCCTGTTTTTTTTTATTAAAATCAAAACAAAATTGAGTTATAAAAAAATCCCTGGAGTAAAGGTTTTTTGTTTTTCTTTGTTTCATTATACTCTTGCAGAGCAAAGGGAATTATAAACTCAGACCCCATAAAGTATATTTATTTTTGATCAGCCACCATAACCATCAGAATCGAAATACGTCTGTACTTCTGTCCGTCTGTCTGTTCTTATGTAAACTAGTCTTTCAGTTTTAAAGCTATCTTGCTGAAACTTTACCAAAAGTTGTGTAGTTGTTAGTTAGGGCCGGATCGGGCGATATATGATCAGATCGACTTAACTTCTTCCAATGGCGTTTTCTTACTACTACTGAATTTCGAATTAAATTTCATCAAAATCGGATGACAATATCATATAGTTGTCATATGAAAATATGGTCGAAAATATGGAAAATTAGTATAAAAATCGTTATAGCTTCTATGTTGTTTAACGTTTATGTATTTTTTTCGACATATTTGATGTCTGCAAGGGTATATCAGCTTCGGAGTGCCGAAACTAGCTTCCTTTCCTGTTCTTTCTAAGCCTACGAAGCATAACATAAGTATTAAGGGCCACAACTAGTGTGAAGTTTTAAAAAAATCAAAAAAATTTTTTTTCATTTTTCGGTAGATTACACTTTTAAAAATAACATATTAAAATTTTAAATCGATATCTCAAATAGTTTTTGAGTTATAACAATTTAAAGAGCAGCCGCTCTCATAACAGTACAAACGATCATTTTATCTTTAAACTTTTCTCGAAACAGCATTTTCCGAATTTGCTGCAGTGATAACTCAAAAACTAATGATCCGATCACTATCAAATTTGTTTTGTATGTTCTATATATAGTTCTCCGTACCATGAGCTATCGGTTTTTTGATCCGATCAAAAATCGAATTTTGGCAGGTCAAAAACGACCAAAATTTTGGCTAAAATTCGATTTTTTTTTTAAACGCCGCCATTTTGTCAATTTTTGATATTTTTCTTTTATCGTAGTTCATGGTATAGACAATATCATCTAGTTTAACGAGAATTTTTCAGTTTTTGATTTCATCCACGGAGAGGGCCGGAATCACTGCAGCAGTTAAGGGGGCTTCTCATGTAAAATTTTAAAAAAATCGAAATTTTTTTTTTTCATAAATCGATAGAATAACG